CAGAAGATCAGGGGTGTGGCAGAAAGACAGCAGTAACGAGTACTACTACTACTACTACTACTACTACTACCATTGGTGCAGCTGGTGTCACTGCTAGTGGCTGTGGTGGTGGTGCTGCTGCGGCTATTTTTGCTGTTGCTTGTATATTGTTGCTTTTGTTACTTCTTAATCCTTTACTACTGTCATCCACTTAGCTATAAATAAAATATAGCCTCTCGTGTTCATAAGTCAGAAAGGGTTGGGCTTTTTTTTTAACCTTATCGTTTTTTGTTTGTTTTTTGGCATCAATTTTATTGTTACATGGTCAAACAGAAACACAGAAACACTCACCAGAAACAAAATTGAAATAACAGCAATGATGTGCACACACTCGCACAATAGATAAGATAAGCCTGCCATCTTGCTCCCTGGTACATTGAATTGTACGCATTGCTTGTACTACCTACATTCTAAGTACACATACAATCTCTCTCTCCATACTCACTTGTGTTTGTATGTTATGATTTAACATAAAAAATCTATTACTTTGTACTCGATGATAGTTGGAATAATGTGTATTAGAGAATGAATTCCCGTCTCTAGTTAATTACTTGTTTCGTAGTGAAAAATATGTTTTTGTTTAGCAGAGCACGGAAAATTGATATCAACTGGCATAATGGCGTCACTGTTATGGAAAGGAGCCAGAGAAAACTAGCAGAATAGCTTTTTCTCACAGTAGGTAAAATCCTAGAAATCGACATACACGACAAGGCCTAAAATACACAGATGCACAAACACAGAAACGGCGTCATGTACTCGCCCAACACTAGGGAACTTGTATTGTTCTAGAATTTGAAAAATGCCAACAGTTTATCTCAGCGCGAACTGACAATTCTCGGCTTCTCTTAGTAAACTTTGCGGGTACCTTTCCCTTTCATACTGTGTTGGACGCTGATACTTCTTTCTTACCGATTAACACCCCCCCCCTTCCACCCCCACCGCCGCCCACCCTCATCTCCACACCCTTATTTTACCCCTTTGGTACTCCAGGTAGGGTCAAATGACAGACTATCCGAGGTCATGCCCTACCTAGTTGCTGCTCTTAATTGCAGGCTTCTTCCAGCGTGAAGCACCCAAGCCATATATTATGTTCATGCTCGTCATTCTCATATATATTTTTTTGTTGTTGAAACGTAGCTGTAACAAAAGGTATTCTTCTTAGTCAATATATTTTGGGGAGTATATTTTCAGTTTACGAAAGGGTGAAATAATCAACTATAAGCTGTACTCTTGAATATTTAAACCTTACATTTCTTCATTTTACAGATGAGCCTTTGTCACAGGGAGCCGCATCAGACATACATAGTCTCCTGCTTGGCTGGAGCTGAGAGGAAGGGTCAACGGTTCGTGTAATCATCTGGAGAGAGTAGAAGAATGCTGTCCTAGAAGCAAGCGACGCGTATGACAGTCCGATTTCCCCAGAGCACACAGGCTGGTGTATAAGGGTGAAGTCGTATGTAATGACGTGCCTGCGTGCGTTTGCATAGTTCTACTAAAAACGTTGTTCATATTTTGTGTACCTTTAGAAGATGATCTTACGGATAATAATATGTTTGTATGTTAATACACACAGATGAGTCAGTGCTACGTTGGTGCCTACGATAGTGAGCACATTCATAAGCTAATATGGAAACGTCTCACTGAGTCGTTACCATTACGTCGTATGCTGTCTTAAAGTTTCTCTTTCAGATGGGTTAGCTCTAAGTGAAAACAATCATTTGCCTTTTTTGCGCTTTAAACCATTTTTATGTAAGAGAAAGCAAAAGAAGAGAAACTTTCAAGCGGAAAAGGATAGTTGCTCAAGAGAATAATATAATTTATTTAAAGATAAAGTTCATTTGAAAGTTATCATAATAGTACTTTTTTAAGTACCAAATATGATCCTCTTGCCAGCTTCAAACCTGTAGATTTTTACCGAGTTCGCTATTTCTTTTGTGGCCCAGGCATTAGCTCTTTTCCTTGCTTACACTTTAGTGACAATAAAAAAAAATGAAACATGTATAACTTTAAAACGCGTTTGACCCACTTTGGTTTGAAGAGGAGCCTGGAAAATAAGCAGGCTGTTTTATTTCCTTTCTTTGTTGTTATTGTTGTTCTTTTTCTGGGGCAGGTCCGATTTAGATAAAGGTTGTATTGGACACAGCGAGAGACATTTGGAAATTGTAGGTCAGACCCCCCCCCCCTATCAAAGCGAAGTACCAAGAGGAGAAATATCCCTTAGACATTTGATGCGATGCACAACTGATAGATCTCCGAAATGTTCCCTATATTTCTTTAATGGAATCGAAGAGATAAATCTATTTTTTTTATCTCCTTTTTTGGAAGGGGGTGGGGGGTGGGGGGAGTGTTTTACGGCGATCGCAACTGCATAACGTCATATGAGCACGCGGGACACACCTAATATTTTCAGTTGGTAGGAAATTTTGAATTTTGCCCGGATGGCGGCCGAAGCCTACTCTTATCGATTTTAGACCATCAAGGGATCTTTAACGTGCGCAACTTGCACACAGGCCCTCCGAGATTTTTCAACCTAGTCAGAGAAGGCTAGGGGTAGATCTTTCCTGACAGAAGATCAGGGGTGTGGCAGAAAGACAGCAGTAAGGAGGAGCCAAGGAGTAGCAGTAGAAAGGCTGCAGAAAGAGTCAGGCGCCTAGAAGACTAGGGGGGCAAAGGAGGTGAAGGGGTAGGGGCAGAAAGCAGATGACAGAGCATTGCTGGAGAGCAGGAAAAGAGGTGAAAGGAGACAGTTTTAGAGAATAATTTTTCGGTCTCTACCCGGATTCGAACCCGGGACCTTTGAATGAGAGACCAACACCTAATCTCTATGCCACGAGAGCCCCGTTTTATCTCCGAATAAGACCCGATCATTATATTATACCACCACATACCTTCGTATTGATGAGAACTCTGAAGGGGGGCTCTCATGACATAAAGGTTAAAGTGTTCGCCTCCCATTCAAAGGTCCCAGATTCGAATCTGATCTCATTGTTGTCATTAATCCCGTAAATCTCAAGAGCCCATCCCCAACCCACCCATCTTCTTTATTTCAATGCCATAATGTTCTGCGAGCAAATGGTGCGATCAGTCAAGGTTTATCGAGTACATCTATATCGGTGTTTCTCCTTAGACATTGTATTCCCCTTAATCTGGATTGACCCTAACAAGCAGCGTCGCCTTTCACCTACTAAATGGTCTAAACTGTATCGATGGGAACGTAAAATCCCATATTAACCTTCGATTCTGTTCGCTTTATCCGGTTTAAACTTAGCAAGCAGGCTGGCTCCCGTTGTCGTTGGGTTCTGGACAGTGGATCAGATATTGGTTCAAAATCAGTCATTAACTAGAAACGGCCCCTATATGATATTTTGGTAGGCTTTGGTTAGTTTTTAGGGAAATGATGATTTAGCTTCAAAATTTGGTTATTGTATTCCAAGAGAGGAAATAAGGGATGTGTCCTGCCTTTGAAGACAGCCTGGGGGGGATCTAGAGTAGGCGCTAAAATCGAAACTAAACGGCTTACAAACATCATCTTCATTATCATCATCATTATGGAATTAACAAATTCTCATCAGCGTTACTGAATCCAGCAATAGCAGCAGCAGCAGCGGGAGCAACAACTTCTTTGATGTGATTTTTTCAACTACTCGTATGATAATGTATAACAACCTTAAGTCGGACACGTAAATAACATTTTGGCACCCGTTAAAACAAGGCATGGGAGGAAATCTAAGATATAGTTTCAAACAAAGGGCAAAGGAGTGGGGGTCTGGGGATCTGTAATTGAATTATTTTTTTAGATGAAGTAGAAGGTGATATATTGTGCCTTATGGCGAAGATTCCTTGCCTTGCTCTTTATTAGAAGGTGTATGCCGTTAATATTCTCTTTTGAAGAAGTTATCTTTTTGAAGACTGCTTTTCCAGGCATACCCAAGTTAATAATTATATGTCAACTTTGCGTTTGCGTTGATGATCAGTTTTGCTGTCTGGAGGGGAAAAGTTCTCGTCCAGAAAGAGTGTGTGAGAGAGAGATAGAGAGAGAGGGAGAGAGAGAGAGAGAGAGAGAGAGAGAGAGAGAGAGAGAGAGAGAGAGCGATAGAGAGAGGGCATGCTTGAGAGATACAGAGAGCATTAGACCGGTCCCAGAGTGGCTCAGTAGCCCTGGAGACAGTGGACTCGTATGATGAAACTCTAATTCATGCATACACAGATGGCCACCAACAAACAGCGCTACACAGAATGCTGGATATGGATCTATGATTAAATATCGAAACAACCTTGGAGAGAAGAAGCAGACCCAGCTATTTGGCCCATGTTGAAAATACAGCTCCAACTGTGACGCAAAGAGAGAGAGTTGCCATAGTAAAGACCCAGGAGCAGATCACCCAAGACTTTTTTGAAGGCGCAGTAACTGCAGGGAATGTTGTTTTCTTCTCTGACTCAAAATCAGGGAGGAGGAGACTACAGAGGTGACAAGAACATTCTCAGCATTGTAAAACAGATAGGCACTTCCTATGGCGTCCGGGTCACACTTCAGTGGGTGTCTGGCCATTTTGGAGTACAAGAGAATGAGACTGCAGACCAGCTATCAAAGACTGGAGCGAGCCTACCCTTGACAGACACAGCCGCCTCTTTACACACCTGCAGAGGGATCATCCAAGCCAAAAGCAGAAACAAGTAGCTAAACAGATGGGCCAACGCAGAAACAGGAAGATCTCTCTTCGGGTACTTGGACAAACCCAACCCCAAAGACCCTTCGAATCTTTTATGTAGAGCCGATCAGAATTTGATCTTCAGAGACCGCACAGGACACTTACACACCAACAAGCACATAATAAACAGAATTAACCCCACGTGGTATCCCAATTGCAGACACAGTGACTACCAGAGGAAACTGTTGAACATCTTCTCCTTCACTGCCCAAACCTGGCAGTTCTTCGAGGCAGGCTCCTACACACCCCTACAGACTTACAAAGGACTGCTCTACTCTGGCGTTGACCAGATGGCAAGGACATGTAGTTACTTGAGGGAGGCATTGCGCTACCAAGAGCGAATTGCTCGCAGTTAAATTGATTTGAAAACAACAACAACATCTAAATATTATATTAGTATTGTCTGTAGACAGATCTCGAAGCAAGGGATATAGGTGAGGATAAAAGAATATCGTACCGTATGAGGATACTGGAATTATGAAAGAAAGAAAGCAGACCAAACGAGCAAGGAGACAGGATTTAAGCAGAGAATGCATATACAACTCTCAAAAAGGTTTCCAATAGGTCTTTAGAAAAATTGCTTTAAAATTAAAGTCCATTGTTTTTGTCAAAACAAAAGTAAGGCTAAAAAGTCATTAATTTGTTACACAGGTTGTGACGTTCTTATATAATACAATATGAAAATTGGGGTTGATGTTCCATCAACGCTGTTGCATCGCATAACCCGGCACACGGCACACAGTACATACTAGGCGGCAGACCCGCCTGTTGCCTCATCCCGCAGACGTCAACGCACAGTGCGGCTGTGCAGACACGAGAATGCGCGCGCTAGGCGAGCTACAGATCAGACCTACAGTTGCACTGTGGAACCGGTCTTAGAGAGAGATGGACATTCAGACTGGTAGGTTAAAGGCAGACAGACAGACATACATACAGAGAGAACAGGAATGGGAGATATGAGAGTAGAGGAGGAGGTGACAGTTCATAAGAGGTTACGGACTAGGCATGTCAAGAAAATAGGCAGAGTAAACAGTCCCATACATCGCGCATTCGTATCGCTGGTTTGTAAGGTCGTGTTATTATACAAGGTTCTATCCTTTACAAGATCAAAATTAGTGGGCATGTGGACTACCAGTTAGAGATCCTAGCTTTTTGTTTTGGATTGAGGAAGTGGGATAAAATAATCTTGATACTTAAAAGCGTCCACAGTTTCTCTTATTTATTTTGAGTTTTTGTTGGAGGTAAGTTCTCATTATTAGTGGGTCACATGCAAGTAGGCCCTTTCTGGTCTTTGATCAGAACTTCAGTTTCTGGGGAATTATTCCAAGTGAATGTCATGATTCTGAGGATATCTTCTTCTTCTTCTTCAGCTTTAGGTCTGGAGCAGACATTGACAAGCATGCATGGTATCCCATTCCTTCCAGTTGTCCGACTTTATGATCAACTCGGTTTTTCTCTTGTCTATCCACGCTCTTGTTTCCCTCTATATTTCCACTCGGCAGCAGTTACTCAAGTTCATTTGATCTATTTACATGGCCAAAGAATGTCACTTGTCTTTTTATGATGGTTCTTTCACATCGTGCTTTTGGAGCACTTCTCTATTCGTTTTCCTCTGCCCTTTTAAGGTATTCTCCTTAAATACCCCATTTCAGCGGCCTCCAGTCTTCACGCTGGATTTTTTCCCTTTCTTTCTTACATTAGGTAATATTCCATATTGGGATGTCGGTACTTTTTAAATATCACCTTGGTGGTCAGTAGCAGGCATTTTTCTTCATTTTCTCTATCTTTCTTCTTGGAATCTCTTAGTAAGAGTCAGCTATCAAGACTGTATCGTCAGCGTACCGTTCTGAGGATACATTCCAAAGAAATTGTGAGTCCACTCAGACTCAAATCTCAAACTCATTACAGGTAAAATAGTAAGTTGGTAATCATCTGAACCACAGGAGATAGGACTTTGCTTCTCCTACTCTGAAGACAAAAGCGCAGACCACACTGTTGAGTACCATTACTTGTCATAAATTTGTGTAGTGATCAAAGCTTAAATATTGTTTTTATACTTCTTTCCTTTTGGGGGTATAGCTTTCTTAAAACCCTCCACCCCTTCGACCTCCCTTGTCTACTCAACAGACCTTCAGTGTACTCGACTAGCGAGAAGCATCGAAAATATGCAACTCATAGGGTGTTATGTGTGGCTTTCCATTGCGTTCTTTCTTAATGGTTTGATTTAAAGAGGAAGAAGAAGAAGAAGAAGAAGAAGAAGAAGAAGAGGAAGAGGAAGAAGAAGAAGAAGAAGAAGAAGAAGAAGA